AATTTAATGTTTTTACAAAATCATTAAAAGAATGGCACTATCTTAGACACTAGTTCTAGTGCAGTTCTGTTGCACACTTAACAAGTGTAAACTTTCTGCACTGGGAAACAAATATCCACATGACTCATTTATCAGGATTTTGCTCTTTGGTAGTGATCTGGAGCTGAACATGCAATATCGCTGAGAATGCCTGCATTGTCCTAATCCTTCAAACCTAGGAAGCCAGTCCTACAATGCTGTGTCCAAGAAGTCTCCATAAATAGGTCCACTGTGTCTTTATTACATTTATGTGTGTGTGTGTGTGTACGTACACACACCTATACATATATATGCATGCACTTTGTACATACATACCTAAACACATAAATGATAAAAGAAAATTTGATGCGTTTGAGTTGTGGTGTGGAAGAAGAGGACTGAATATCTGAACTGAAAAAAAAAAACCCCAAATATATATTCTGGAGAAGTGCAGCCAGAATGCCCCATATGGGCAAGGATGGCAAAGCTTCCTGTGACATAGTTTGGGCATGTTGCTCAGATGTCCTTGGAAAAGGACATCATGCTTGGAAAGATGACAGTCAGGGAAAGGAAGGAAGACCCTAAACAAGGAGGATTGACACAGTGACTAGAGCAATGAGTTCACGTACGTCAGAGATGATAAAGATAGCAAAGGATTCAGATCGTTGTTCATAGGGTCGCTGTGAGTTATTCTGCTCGACAGCCCCTAACAACAAAAACATTACGCATTTATACCTACAAACATTTCTTTTTATTCTGCGTATATTTTGGGTTCTTGCTGTTGTTTCAAAATTATGTATACACACTGTTTAAGTAGGAGCAGAAAATAAGACATAGAGGCTTGGGTCCGTGAGTATTTCTTTGAAGGGGCCAGAGGGAGTAAGCATAACATGGTCCCTCACTGCCCCAAAGCAGAAGGTAGATGAACAGCCTGTATCCCAGCCCTGTGATGCCTCTGGGACCCCAGCAACAGACGTTCGTTTATTCATTGCTGACTCACAGATGAACGCCACCAACAATGGAGTTTATTAGGGAAGGAAGTGTGAGAGTAGGAGTGGCAAAGAATATCTCACAATACCAGTCCAGGCTTTAGCCCAGCAGTTCCAAGGCACAATTCTTCAGTAAGTCCAGGCTCTGGTTTCAGTACAGCGGTCAAATCCAAATCTGCCAGCAAGGTTTACCTCAGAGCATTATGAGTCAGCTTCTCCTTCAAACATCTGGCAAGAACAGCCACACCTTTAACTGTGGCCAGCACAAATGCAAGAAGCCTCAGGTCACACCTTGCGTCCGTTTGTCCACAGCAGTGCTACAGTCTCTCCACCACTAGGGTCTCACCCTCACCAGGGTGTTGTTGCCACACGCCTTGTTCACCTCAAGTCTTGCTGCCCAGTGTGGGAAGCACTCTATCTTATCCAAGTCTCACAGCGACTGATGATTTGCAAGACCATGCTGACTTGTAAGATTGTGTGTCTGCAGTTAAGGAAGCCGGAGACCAGAGGCTGTAATAGCTAAAAAAAAGGGGGGGGGGGTGTCAACTTTTAGGCTAATACCACACATACCAATTAAAAGTAGTTTTTAGTGATAAACAGTAATACACTCTTAAGTTGTTTCTACTTCTTACCCCTTTGTTCCCTGAGATCTCTGTCATATGATAGAGGATGAGAATGATGTCGATTTTCATTGAACACGGGTCCAAAATATGATCAGCTGTGAGAGGAATGGCTGGGATTGTGACTTTGCAGTGGGAATTATGCTGTGCTGAACTGGGAGATAGTGCTTAACCCTGAAATTGTCAGAGTGCATCTTGGATATTGACTTTGGTCCTGAGCTCCAGGTATTGGCAGACTTTGACCTTCTGCGGTACATTCAGAAGGCAGTGGTCAGGACACGATACTGTGTCCTGTGAGGGGTAATTGAGACACCATGGGATAGTTATTTGTGAGAAATCTGGAAAGGATATGATTAACTCCCTTCAACTCTCCGAGGAGCTGGCATGCCAAGAGAAATTATGTTCACTCCATGTGGTTCTGAGGGCCGAGTGAGCGGCAAGCGTTGGATAGGCCAGGATTCAGATTAATGTAAGAAAGCTTATTCTGACAGAAGGGTCTGAAAGTGGATTCGGTGCCCCCTGGGGTAAAAAGTAAACCCGCCAACATCCCAGGAGATGCTCAGGCAGAAGCCAGATGTTGCTTGGATGAAGGGGCATTGCATAGCATGTGTACGGAGGGATTCTTTATAAGGATTTTATTTGGTGACCTTTGAGAAAACTTTATAACTAGAGACCTTGAACTTGAAATCACAACTCTGCATCTTACAATCTATATCTACTACAAAGCCAGATAAAAATATTCCACGAACACTATTCCTTCTCAAGTACTGCTTAGAACAAGGAAGTGGCTGTTCAATCTCCTGATCTCGTGGTTTCAACGCTCGGCTAACTGCTAGTTCTACGGGATGATGAATTTCGTCGG